AGACGGTTGGTCGGTTCGACTGAATTCGTGGTTTTGCCGGGGGCACATCCCAGCCGCTAAATAGTAAGCGTTTCTATCGAACTCGCCCACTTGTTTGGAAACCGGCAGAATGCAAATGTAACCACCCAAGCATGTGATACCAGTCTATCAAAATCCGACGTTATTGAACAGAATCTTATTACTAATTATGTCCCCGCAGTAGTCCCAGCCAGTGAAGTGGTCGGAAGGGATCAAGATTGTCCCAAAAGCTTTTTTGAAACGTTCCTACGCTAGTCCCGTCTATGTCAGGGGTCCCCCTTTTTATCAAAAGCTCCATGGCTATGTAGTTCGCAGAACAACTTCTGAATATATGCAATGCGCCTTGGCGACATAACCGTACTTCTAGGACCTCAAAGCCCTACAATGCCCTCTAAAGCCTACGCTTCGCTGTGGCTTCGGCCACACCCGACAGTATTGGTTGTTAAAACAGAACACAGAACAGTGGAGTTTGAAAAAGTGAAAGATGTTTTTTCAAGCTTACGGGAGATGGCATCTGGATTGAGCAGGGGTTGAGGTACGGACATTAGACTAGAAAGCGCCGAAGACGTGATGCAGGAAAAGTCACCCTTGGTGACTGCCGCTTGTGGGAGGAGCTTCGGGATACCCGCACTGGATTCCAGTCCGCCGACTCCCTTGTAGACGGTGAGTGAGGTGATCAGGGCCATGGGCGCCGGCATCAGATGCGTCATTGTCAGATGTTTCATGTACTCCGGCATCAAATCGGGTATCTCCTCCGAACAGATATGACATTTGCGCTGTGCAGGCGCAGGCGGAGCGGTCGATGAATTGGGTCGCTCAACCATGTCCTGGCCAATACCGCGCATGAAGGCGGTTTCATCTAGGAGATTGATACCGGGCAGAAGTGGACCTGGTGGTGCTGGTCGTCCAAAAAGGCTTCCAGAGGCCGCGAGGGCTGTCATAAAGCTGAGAAGTTCCCGACCTTTTTGGTCAACTGGCTCGAAGGGATTCGGAAACTCTGTTTTCGTTGAATGTTCAGGGTCCTTACTGGACACCGGAATCCGGCTCAGGTCCAGGGACTCCGTTTGTCCGGTATCCTGCGCGAAGATGGTCTCATTCTCATTGGTTTTCTTTGCGCTCAAAAGTATGTCAAGTAGGTCAGCTTGGGTGTCCGCCTTGTTATTGGGCTCCATCGGACGCCCCTCCTCTGACTCACTTAGACAGTTGCCACTCGGCTCCGTGGATTCTGAACGGGCCGAGGAGACTTGCAGGGGGAACTGAGGGGTTGTTGTCGCAGTCTGCAAGGGAGAGCTGAGATTTGAAGGGACGTTGATAGCTGACGTTGGTGATAGAGTGCTCGGGGTTGAATTCCTTGATGATGGAGCCGGATGGACGGAATGGCTACCAAATCTTTCTTCTGTCCTTATTACTTCAGCCTAAACAGAAAGTAGGAAAATATGTGATCAAGGCGTCCTTTGGGAAAGGGAGTAAATTTATTTGAAAAGCTTTTTGACACTGGATTCCTAGGTCATCGTCAGACGTGAGAAAAATGTGCAAAGAACAGTTAACATTTCAAAGTGTTGACACAGTTATATAGTCATCTAGTGTGGGCGCTAATTGGTAGTTGGTGATGCCTGCCTTCCAGTTTATACGAAACAGATGAACAAGAGTCACGTGGCTTCACCAACATTCTTTTAAAGGTAATTTTAGAAACATTTACCGGTAGCCGTCGTCGTCATCTGTCCTCAATTCGCTCATAAAGCGCAAGACTCGAAGCTCAAATGCTGCATGTACATCATCGACAAACAAGAAAACGCGAGGTTACGGAAGACTTATACCACCAACGGGATTAATCTGGGGAGTACCTGATGGGGTACTGGAGGGTCTATACAAAGTGTGATTGGTCAAAGCGTTCTACTGAGATTCAGATCGAGAAGAAGTCTCTGTTGTAGTCTTTCCCATTGACTGGGTAGTCATTTATTGTGTTTCAATGTCTCCCTTGTCTAGAAAACCGGCTCGGTACTCGACCGCTTTAAAAAGTTGTCGTATGGACTAGCAAGTATTGTTTTAATCAAAGCAGTAATTAAGCTGGGACAGCATTAGCACGACAGGCAAATTTCCCTGGGTTATTCCAGCAGATCAGTTTTGTCAACGTTCTATCAAAGCCTGGCTGTGTGGTATATTACATCAACACACTATACAAATTTTCCTATGGCTGACTACGAATACAACCTGTTTGGTGCAAATGGTCTTGGAGATGGATTACCTCGATGAATGAATTGTCGATAAGTTCTGTTTTAAAAAATTAAAAATGCCTAGACTTCCGATTCTACAAATTTGGTAACATGCTTAAAATAACAGCTTTTTGTAGAGAAATAAATTATTACAGTGATAACGCATGTGTTCATATATGTTTTCTTAACTTTAAACTTAAAAATGACTTTCTTTCCATCCCCTAAAGACGGATACATTATTATGCGTTTTTTCAGAATGGACTTGACTTTGTTACTAGAATATTTAAAGGCCAAAATACAATTGTAAGTTCTCCCAATGTTAGCATGTCGTTCCCATTATTAACTTCCTGTGGAGGACGGACTTCCGGACAACTAATTACTAGGACCCTTAAACTAAC